ACTTATAGTTCTCTTGTATCATAAAACACAGGTTTATCCCCTTCAATTGACGTCTTGAGTAATCTATAACTCAAACCTGGGAGGGTTGGATGAGATGAGGTTGTGTATCATATTCCAAACCTACTCTTAGACTTTCCCTTTCTCAGCTTTGTGAATGGAGGGACTTCTTTGGACTTTCCTTATATCTCTGTCATTACTATTTTTTCTGCCTTTTGGAAAAAGAGTATCTCATCCGGTTGATGTCTGAAAAAAATAAACTGAAAGTAGTTGGTCCATCTTCTTTCTCCTGCATCTGAAATCCAGATGCATTGTGTGGGTACTCACTTCACCCTGTGAATGGGGAAAGACTGAGAAGGCTGAGGCCTCAACACATGCATTCAGGATCCATCCCAGGAACATAACACTATGTTTGAAGAAATTTAGTTCTTGCAACTGGAAGTTTAGTCTCCTTTGCTTATTTCTAAATTCATTACTTTTTTTCTGTTCCATTCTTTAATTTCTGTTTGACTTTATAATTGTCTTTTTTTTTCCAATTTAAATTTTTTAACTGAAGTTGGTGTGTAAACAAGTGCCTTGGGTATTTTAAAAGTAAAAAATTTAAACATATTTAAACTAGAACTTAACCACTTTCAATGACACCACTCAACATCCAAAGAACTATGTTATATAAAAGTGAAATGAAATTCTCTTCTACTCACTTCAGTAGAAAGGGGTCTAGGAAGAAATTATCTTCTGTGTTAATCTTAAGCATAAATGTTATATCATGCTGTAGAGAGTCTACATAATGTTTTAAAACTACACATTAGATCATCTTTTAGTACTTAATGTTCATCAGAACAAATAACTAGTTGTCTCTTTTTTATTCTGTACCATTGAGAAGAATATCATTTGATCATTCTAACCATGCCTTCGGTCATGTCCACCCATTCCTTGAGGATTTTAGCAACTGGCTTACTGTATTACTTATCAACTTATTTTCTGCCAAAAATCTTGAACATTTCAATACCCACAGAGAAGGTGCTTCCAATAAGCTGGTCTCTAGGATTTTGGAGTACCTCATTTCCAGTGATTTTCTTTTGCATTCACTTCAACTATATTTAGTTCTCTAGGGCTTATCAATTTCCTTAGAATGTCATAAAGAGGAGAGTTCAGGATTAGGAACCACAAGAATCATCTGTGGCAATATTACTCTTGGTTGTGGAATCTGGATAGAGTCAGTCTACCACTTTACCTCAGTTTTCTCAGCCATCATATGAGGCTTAAAATGTATTTATCTTTGTCTTTCATGCGGTTTGGCTCTTTAAAATAACAGGAAGAAAATATTCTGAGAAACGGAAAGAAGAAAAACACCAAGATAAAGAGTAAACTGTACATTCTCTGGGGATCTTGGAGGAAAGCAATTCATTTCTCACTTTCTTTACCTCCTTCTCTCTGATTGTGCAATTCTGCACCACAATCTGATATCCAAGGAGTAAATGTGTACAGTTGCTGTTTATCCTGCCACTCTCAAAAGCAAGAGTAAAACAGAATCCCACCTCAGTGAATTGGGACAAAAAGACCTAGGTGGGAAAACTGGAGGAGGAAGAGGACTATTTGAAGGATATTAATATCAAAGACTTAATTTGGTCGTTTTTGCAGAGTTGAGTTAATGGATTAAACTTGTGGCCGTTTTATGTAGTTTTGTCAGAAAGTGATGTGTCAGAATTTTTACATCTGAGATACTTGCTCTTTTAAGCTGACTGGAAGCATCAATCATAGGTAAAAATTTTCCTGCTGATAGTTCTCTTTTCTCTCGTTATCAAAAAAGAGGAATTTATATGTGATTTTTCAACAGAAATAGGAGTAGAAGAAAGTCAGTTCATTTCAAAGACACTTTAAAGTGCCTGAATTTCCATTTAACTTTGAAAACAAACTTAAACTGATATTCTGAATTCTATTAACAATCATGGCTGCACAAGCCCCCATTATCATTCCTTTCACTTTGACTTGGTGGTCTAATATGAAACCTTCCGAAATATTATGTTATGGTGACTTGGGGGCTCAGCTCTGCAGATTCTGAGAGATAGAAAGGAAGTGAACATTCTACAGACTGACTAGGTGCTCAGCCCTATTCTAATTTGGTTCTTTGCATTCATCATTTATTTTATATATAATCCTCATGGTAACCATTTGAGATCGGTGTTACATCTTCCATTTAACAAATGAGGTTACTGAAGCTCAGAGAAATTAAATGACTTGCCCAAGGTTATTCAGCTAATATATAGCAGATTCAGGAATCAAGCTCCAATCTTTTTTCCTTTAAAGCCTGAACTCTTAGACATAATCTATTCACAGTAAGAACTTTCTGAAAATTATGAAGTGAATCCAGCTTAAATTTATATCTAAAATTAGAGGTCATTAGTTTTAAGACTTCAGTTGAAAGACACAAACAGAAAGAGAAAAAAAAATCTATCCAAATTAGTGTGATATTTAACAAAATGACTTAAAGTGAGATCAGAAGAGGTTTTTTCTTTTTTTTCCTTTTTCTTTTTCTTTTTTGTTTTTTCTTTCTTTCTTTTTTTTTTTTTTTTTTTTTTTTTTTTTTTTATCTCAGCTGTCTAACTATCTAGCTCTGTGACCTGGTCCACCACTTGGGACCTCAGATTTCTCATCTGTAAAATGAAGATGTTGAACTTAATGATCTTTACACCCTTTTCAGCATAAAAATATTCAGTGTTTCTGAGTAAGAACTAGTCAAAGTGCACTTTCCTTTTTTTAAAGTCATATAACTAGTGAAATGAAAGTGTGGGGGGGGATACTCAGGAACAGGAACAAAACCACATGTTATGCATTTTCACTGTATCATGTGTTTATGTACATAATCTCATTGAATTCCCTCAACAAACCTTTTACAGTATTATTCACTTCAGCATTATTGTACTGAAGTGAAAAGACACAGAGAAGTGAATCAGTTCACCCAACTTTACTAAAACATAATATCTAGATAGAAAAAAAATTATCACTCTGTAAAACAAATAAGCTTCTGTTTTAGAAGCTGATGTTTGCTTGCACTAGACACATTTGATCATACAAAGTTTAGTTAGTATGGGCTTTTATATATATATATATATATATATATATATATATATATTGTGTAGTTTGCACATGCGTGGGGCCTATTCATGCTATAATTGTGCAGTAAAGTAATAAACTTTTGATTCAATGTGTTTTCATTATATATGAATGCCCAAAACTTAGTTTTCTAACTAGTAAACTAAATTTATTATTGTAAATATTTTGAATAAATGTTCAAAGTATTCACTTTAATTAGCCCACTCACCTAACGGTAACATGGAGAAAAGAAATATTATTGTATCTTATCATATATGCATACATTCTTGCTGAAATCAATTGCAGAAAGCTATAAGGAGAATAAAGTCAGAAAGAGTTTGGAGAAGGGAGGCAGATAGTTTCAGACCTTGCAGGTAACTGACTGAGCTGACAATTTTTATATTCTTAAGGAAAACAAGAAGTGTATAAGGATTGCATGATCTAGATTGCAATCCAAAAAAATCATTTGAGCTGCAGTAAGGGGAATAGATTGTTGTGGTGCCCTAGAGAACAGATGAACTAGTTATGATAGTATTGTGGTAAACCAGGTAAGAGAAACAGTGGATTATATGAGGATGGTAGCTATGGAGATGGCATGAGATGGATCGGTTTGACAAATACAAAGGAGATGAAACTGACAGGACTTGCATACTGATGGGAGTCAGGAAAGATGTGAGGAATAATAACTGCTCAGTTTCTCTGGCGTACGACTGGACGGTTGAGCTGGTCATGAACTGGGTTGGGGGGATTAACGGTGGTGAGAGGCAGATACTAAAATAAGTATATAACAGAGTATGGTGCTTTGCCCTGGAATTTCTTCTAAAGAATGTTTTTTGATAGGTCCTCTTATTAATGCTCCTTTCCTCCTTTGAACACAAAATTCCCAGAAAGAAAATAAGTATAATAAACATAATGATGTACATTTGACAGAAAAAGTCCTTTCATGACATTATTCTCTTTTTTCAGACTAGCATTTGTTCTTTCCCCTTAAAAGCATTGTCACAGAATGTGAAACCTCGTTTGTTGTGGATAACTAACAGCTGACATTTTTGAGGAATGAGAGGAATACAGGTGACTTTGGCTTGATTAGGAGATTTCTTTGACCAAAGTAATTATTCAAAAGGAGAAAGTTAAGAATTTCAGTGTTATATCTATTTTAAGTTCAGGGTGATTTTCTCTTCAGCTGCCAAATGGCCAATAGGACGTGTCCTCAGCAGGCCTCTTTCTCTATCAGGAGTGTGTGTAGGTAGCCTATTCATCTAGCATTTTTTGCAGTAGGACTTAGATGGTATGAGCACCCTAGTGATAACCAAAATGAGAAAAAAATCTAGTATACATCATCTTATATATTGTGAAATTACTGACTAGAGGGCATTCATTTATTTCTAGAATTGTCCTGTAATATCTTTCAGCAATTTCCATTTGAAATTCAACTTCAAGGGGTTGAGCAAAACTTCTTATTGGAAACATCCCCAAACTCATTTCACATGCTGTGAGTGCATCATTAGGACAGTGACTACTGACTAAGCTCTGCTATGTGTGAGGTTTATGCTATGTGCCTTTCAAGTATTATCCTATTTACTCCCCCACAAGAATGCTCTGAGGCAGGTAATGTTGCTCTAGCCATTAGGCACAAGAGGCAAAATACTATTGATTACAGATAACTCAGTCATTATTTTTGCACGTTGTTACAGTTATATATATATTTGTTATATTGAAACATCTATGCAAGAGAGAGAGATAGAAAGAACATAAGGAAGGAAAGGGAAAACGATAAAAGTTTTCTCTATTATTTCAGAATGTGAAAGTGCCTTTTATTATAAATACAGCTAAGAATCATGGCTCTTATTATATCTGGTCATTATTATTCTCTTCATGATGTCTTAGATTTCTGTTCTGCTCTTCTGTAGATACTGGAAAAGCATACCACAAGTGAGAAGAAAAAAAAACAAAGAACAGAAACCAGCCTTCTGGGCTAAAAGGTGAGCTATTTAAATAAATCCACAGAGGTATCCATTTAACTATAAACATTACCCCATGCAGTTATTCTTCTGGGGACCAAAAAAATATGTTTAAAATTTTTCCCAAATCTAACACTTCCCTTTATTCTAGTGTTCTCCCTAAAGCCTGGAGATCCTTTGGATCATATCTAAGTCTCCTTTAAGATCTCAGTTCCTATGGTCTTTGAGCCATAATCAAATACTCAGTTAACACTCGTGCACTGCCCACACCACATTCCAAATGTTCTGCTGCCTATGAGGCAGAGCAGAGAAATGGGATTTTTCAAGCTGAAATTAAATGTGAACGGTGGATAATTGGAAAGAACAAAGAAATATTAGGTAGAAAGGGTAGGTGTGAGGAGACTATCCAGATTTAGATCTGTCTACTTTGCCACTTTGTAGTGGTTTGAATCAACAAACTAAACTATTTTGTATTTAATGTTTATCCCTTGCTTCATTTTAGAAATGAGGTTTCATGTATTCCTCAAAAATATCACAGATATGCTAATGTGAAAATATGAGAGCTCACAAATCTGCATTTTAAACAAAATCTTCCAAGTAAGTCAGGTAGCACTGAAGTTTGAGAATAGTTGTCTAAAGATATAATTTTGTCTGTTATGTATTTTCCTTGAGGGAAAACAGTCATATCATGAAAATACAAGGGATTTAACTTAAGTACAAAAAAATATGCTTGTCTGGATGAGTCGTCACAGGGGATGTAAATTCCCAACAATTTTTATTTGAGGGCTCACTTCCTTCTTATTTCTAGTTAGGATGAAACAATCTGTGGGAAAAAAAAAAAGAAACGAAAGAAAGAAAGAAAAGGGCCAGTCTGTCTGCTATTGTCACTGTTAATCTGAAGCCTATTCTGCCTTCTGGAACTTAAAAATTTACAAGTAGATCAGAAAATGGGGGTGGGGAAGAAGGTGGGACATGAAAGCCCTTTCATAATGCACCTGGAGATTTTAAATATTGGAAGGTCGCTTGCTCAGGTACACGCTTTATTTTTATCTCTTCTCCAGAATATTTAGATCTGACCATTGTGCCTGCTGCCTTCTCTCCCAGTGCCACTGGGGCTGTCTTGAAAGGAAGATGCTTATGTAAAGAAGACAAGTGTGGGAAGGCGCGCATCAGCTTAACAGACCAAGGAGCTCAGCAATTCCACCCACCGCTTCCTTCCCAGAGCAAACTCCCGAGAGATGCACTTCTAGCGAGATGTCTGGTGCTTTACAATGCTTCCCCAGCCCTTTCTGATGCGATGATTTCCTCCTGATAGCTTAATTTTATTAGATCATAGGAGCACAGTCCGTAATGTGAAAACACTTAAAGGGAAAGAGAAACTTTCAAAGCAGCTGTTTAATGTAGGGTGTTTTTTTTTTAAAAAGAACCCATGGGGTGGGGGTGAGAAAACTAAATCCAAAACCTTACAAAATAAAAGCTATTTAGGCAGGCTAGCTTTCCCTTTTCCTCTATAAGTAAAATATTCATGAATTCCGCCACTATGGTACTGTATGCTAGATGCAATCAAAAACTCTTATGCAGAGCAGAAATCATTGAAAAGTGTACTGTTGCCTTACAATACTTCACAGAAAATCCATGAAATCTGCATTGCAAGGCGCTGTCTCTTCCTGTAGCAACATTGCTTCACCCATTTCCAGTGGAGGAAGCCATGATCTTTGCCTTCTGTGATACTATCGAAACAAGATGCCTGGAGCAGGTAGCCGGCTGGTGTAAGGGCTGTGGAGTACAAGAAGCTCTGAAAGTAGGAGAAGATACTGAAAAGGGGCAAATAATCACATTTAGGGTCTAATCAACATCAGTGCCCTATAAATAAACTCATGGAAACATTTGGTGAACTGGAGAGCCTTATGTACCTCTTCATGAGGCAGAAAGACAGCTCCAAAGACATGCTACTTCAAAACATAGCTTGTCCTTGTATGTGCAATGGATCATGTAATCTGTTTGACCACCAAAAATGTGTCCTTATTCGTGTGTCCATCTATCTACCCATCTGTCTGTTTATGCTTCCATGGATACATGCATTCATTTAGCATTTTGGAGTGTCTAGCATGTTCCACGCATCATGAACCAGGAACACAGAGTGGATGACCTCACACCCCATCACGGGAAATCTCTTGTCACATTTAAATAGAGACAAAGTGACATATTTCTGGTTAAAAATGGTGGCTGGAACACATATTTACTTTAGGCTGACCTCATGGAAAGATAAACAGAAAAGAATGAATGATAAATTTAGGTGACCTCAGAAGGCCAACTCATGGAAATGACAAAAGGAGATTCAGAGAAACTACTCCTTTTATAGGAAAGGATCCTTGAGGGGCATGGGTGAAGCTTCAATCGGATAAAAGGGTTGAAAGTCTATTTAAGAAGCAGTAATGACACCAAAATATTCTACTTTGCATCTCCCAGCCAGGGGGTAGTGTCTCTCCCTCTAGACAGAATAAATAAGAGCTTTATTCTTTGGTAAGTGATATCAGAGGACCTCTGCTGTTGAAAAATACAAGTAACAATGAAGAGTAGGGTTCCTGTCCTAAAAACACAATAAGTTGTTACAAAATTGTACACTGAAGACTGAGGCCTCCCCTTGTGCTGTTTTTCTCTGGGCACTGATTGCTACATAGGAACATTCCAGCCAGATCTTGGAAGAACATTATCTACTGCAACTAAGAACCTCAACCTCTAATTCAAAAAATAAGAAAGCAAACATTATATCAGTCACATCAATGTGTAATAAAATCATCACCCACCCATCAGGCTTTCCTAAACCTCTGTTCAGCTGTTAATTTCTATATTCTACTTTGTATAGGGATCTGTAGAAATTTGAGAAAATTCTGTCATATGAGAAAGAGCCAAACAAGACAAAACAACAACAACAAAGAAGTATGTCAGCGGAAATAGACCTATGTGGGAGAAAAAGTTGCTAAAACAAAACCATTCCTTAGAAAAATTGAGATATAAAAGACAGCAGCTCTCTGAGCATTTGGGTCAGGGGAAGCACAGTGCAATTTGGTTAAATGGATATTGTGAACAAGAATAAAGACTATAGTGAATGTGGATAATGTGACCAGTTTTGAAAAGGTGAATTAAAATGTCTTTGATTTAGTTATTCTTCACAGAATCATGTTCCTCCAGTTTCCTCCATCATATCTATAGCGTTCCATGAAAACATGCATTTGACACCAGTACATTAGAAAACACAGTTTAAAAAAAATACAGAGAAAAAAAATAGGAAAATGTGCCCCTCTCATATTCGAAACTATCAATAAAACCTTTTGTGTTTTACTGAGCCTCAGTATTCTGGCCAATGATTCACTAAATAAATGAATGAATAAAAAACTAAGAAGAACCAGAAGGGCAGTTGTCAGATGGAATTGAAATAATTAACTTTAAGATAGAAAAGAGAGATGAAGATACAAAGATGAGGGACACACAATAAGCATCGAGTTTCAAAAATAAAACAAGTAGAGACCTTTTTGGATTTCTTATCATCACTCAACATCATTTTTTACTTTATAATCATTATAGGTTAAGAACAAGTTGAAGAAATGAAAGTAGAAAGGCCTTCACAATCTTATTTCCAACACAACAGAAATGTTATTGACAATAACAACAGTTTAATTTAAAGACTGGTTATTTATGATGTTAATAAATTTAACAAATTTGCAATTCATATTAGCACCATTCAGGTTAGGCATTGTTATTCCATAACTGTAAAATGTGTCATTGTTCCTAATAGACAGTGTCTATTACAGGATACATTATTTAATTTATAAGGCACACATTTTTTGAGCACTTACCAAGAGCTATGCTTCTAGGCTGTAAAAACACACATACCTAAAACAAAGTATTTCTTCACCACTGAAGATAAATAGTAGAATATTTTACCATTAAGGGAGTATGTGTAGACATAGATAAAAAGGAGTAGTGCATGGTAGTAAAGGTAAACAAAATTTGCTCAACTACTTTCCAGTGGCAGGCACTGCATTATGCTATTCAGTTATCCTGAATACCTTGAGAAGGAGCTACAATTTCCCCTTTGGATGCCAAACAAAGTTAAATCTCTATCTGTTCAATGGGCTGGGGTTGTGGTGGGGGGCTACTGTCCAAAGTGAAATATAAATATACTAAAACTATACTTTGGTATTTATTGAATTCGGTTTTCTAAAAATAATACATTCACTTAACAAACAGCCATAAGCACTTGGCAAGTACCCAGCTCTCCTTTAAAGCTGGCTAGTCTCATATTCTAATAGTAGAAAAAATAAGATAACAAGGCTGAAAAGAAACAGGTGTATGTCAGGTGTATGCTGATGAAAACGAAGGCAACCCAAAGGGCTTTCTAGAGAGTTAGGAGGGGAAAAGGAAAAAAAAAAGCAGAGGGGGCGAACCCAGCCAGATTTTTTGCATTTTTTTACCTGATTGACAAAGTCACTGGCTTTCTTTCCTTCAACCTATCTGTGTTCCTGCACAATAGGATTTCTCTCTGCTGGCCTCTGGAAGGCACTTCACAGCACTGTGGCAGATTCCTTTCTTAAAATGATCTCCCAAGGGATCTAAGGTTTCTGGAGATGCCTTTACAGATGGTCCCCTGGGTAATGGCTTAGGGTTTCACCCCTGGTCGTCCTCTTGGTTGCCTTCTGCCATACCCTGTATAGTATCTTGTTAAGGATTGGATCTGAGGTGTTCCCCCAAAGCTTCTGTGTTAATGCAGAAGTGTTTGGCGGTGAAATGGTTGGAGTGTGAGAGCTGTAACCTACTCAGTCTATCCTCTGTCGACTGGCTAGATGATAACTGCAGGCAGGTAAGTCGTGACTGGAGGATATGGGTCACTGGTGGGCATGCTCTGGAAGGGTGCATCTTACCTGCAGAGCATGCCCCTTCTCTCTCTATCACTCCTTGCTGACATGAGAGGACAGCTTCCCTTTGGCATGCCCTTAGCCCTGGGGTGTGTGCCTCATCTTATGCCCCCCAAATGAAGCTGCCTGTGGACTGAGACCTCTGATATTATGAGCCAAAGTAAATTTTCTTCCTCAAAATTGTTCTCTTCAGGTATTTTGGTCACCTGATTTGAAAGCTGACTAAACAGGGCTCTATGAAAAATATGTGACCCTGATTTCTCCCAGGAAATCCTGGTGCAACTGCCCCAGCCATCTAGGACAGCCCTGAATCATTTGATTCCCTGAGTTCCTGGAACTTCACATGTTTTCCCTATCAATGCAGTACTGTGAACTCTAAGTCAAAGAAATATACCTATGTAACTGACATTTCCTCAAGGTAAAAATGTAAATTTATGTTTCTAATGTGCTATTACATGTATGTTAGTTTCAGAGTCTCCAAAAGTAGAGTCCCTCAGAAGTGGGTGGGGTAGTGTGTTGCATTTTTTTTTTAATTATCTAATTCCTCTTGTACCTGGATTGTGCTTTGAGTGCAGTAGATTCTCAAACCACATTGCAGTTTCCACTCAAAGAAGTCTGTGTACTCATTCAACAAAACTTTACTGAGTATGTATGCTCTATAATACCCCCTATTATTCAGTTGCTTTAGAGCTACCAGGAAGTGGACAGATTGGTTGGTTATCTTGAAATGTTTATAACCTATTGATGGAGATAAAAACAATACATACATGTATAGTTATAGGATGTCTACAGGCAGCCCATAAACAGTATAACTGGTAAGAGCTGAAAATTCAGTATGAACTTAGGCTCAGGATATTAAGGCAAACATTAATTTGTGAATCTGGAACTATGACTTACTGAAAAAAAGCATTTGAATTCAGGAGGCTATTCCCAGTGTGCGGAATGTCATAAATAAAGGCATAACTTTCGGAAAGAACTGAACACATGTGGGAGATAGAATGCACACCAACCTGGCTAAGTCAGGTAGTTCTATGGATGGGGAGAAATAAGGTCAGAAGGATTAATTGGGACAACTTAATAGCAGGCTTAGAATCCCCAAAGAAGGGTATAATTTTATTGTAATAATTAACAGGAGCTGCTATCTATTTTTGCACTGGAGACTCATTCAGACAAATCAGAACATGAAAGCATTTTAGAAAGCATTCACAGTGATTGGTTGGTCACTTGTACTTCATTGTAAAAAACAGCAATATACTCTTACATATGGAATCAAGATGCCACTATGACCAACCTGGAAACTTAAGCCCTACTAATATAGACTCAATTACCTATTTCATACCAGGAGTAAGTCAATATACTCCCTCCCATGTCCTATCTCCCATTGATTTCTGCTCAAACAGGACCTTCTTTATGTGAAGATCTTCCTCAAGTTTGAAGAGATGGAGAGCTTTTGGTAACAGACACACAAACCACTTAACAATGAACATTAGCCATTTTTGTATCGAAATGTGTTGTTCAATAGCCTCTTTGTTTTTTTTCTCCTCCTGCTACACTTTGTGTTCTCTTCTCAGAAACAACAAAAAAATCAAGCAGAAATAAAAAATAAGCACTTTCATTCTATAAACAGAAATATGCAGTCTTCTCTATTCTCCGGAATTCGGACCATCCTGCAACAGGTGGGGCCACTTAGCCAGGAGAGATGGGAAGTAGTTGGGTAGGACTATACATCATTCTCTTCCTGGCCTAGCAGGTGCTTCAGGTTTTCCTACCAAGTTTGCAATATCTGTCAAGTACAAGGAAGAGAGGGTATGTCTGTCCCACAAGTTAGACACTGGATAGCCAGATTTATAGCAATTAGAAGCATGTCACACATTCAGCTCTAGAAGCCTCCAGGTAAAAGCAGATTCTATATTTCATTGCTTTGTTGACAAAATCTTCTCTTTATCTATTTCCCCCTATACAAACTTTGGTTAATTTATAAGGGCAGCCCTCTCCCATGTTTTTATTTTGAATGTCACATTAATACACTGAAAACCCTTTTTGATATCTTAATGAACTGGATGATTCAAACAAATTATCTCTATTTCAGAATCACAAATTCTGCCTCATTGTTCAGGAAATTTCTAAACTATTATCTCTGGACAGTCTACAGTGCTTCATTTCAATAACAGAGTATCTTTGTAGAGGGCTTTTGTGTGATTCCAGAGCAGTTCTTTGTGGCTCTTCGATTTCAGTTACACAATTTGTGTGCTGATTTTTTTTTTCTCCCTCTGATTTGTGGAACTCAGCATTCTAAAAAAGACCGATGTTGGCAAAGGGTTTGAGGCTCGTCTATAATATCTGGACTGCAGTTGGGCTGACTCCCTCTGGAAGGAGAGAAGGGGGGGGAAAGGGTAGAATTCTTCTCTTCCTCTGACTGAAGGGTGGGTCCTAATGTTCATTGCTGCTGATGCAGAACTCAGCTTAAATGATATAGGACGTGAGGGGGCGGCAGCAAGTACAAAACAGTGAAATAAATTACCATATATATCATGTTCTGGTGGGTAAGATAGAAGTGATGTGTGTAATGAATCAAAGCTGGAAGCAGTTCTGGTGCGTGGCGATAGTGAGGGAGACAGAGTTCTCCAGGCTCAGCCTCAGCTTCAGAAGGCTCTGCATGAGGAATATGTGAGTAAGCAGAAACCACTCACTGTAATGTGACAAGGGAGGACATTTGTGAGGGCACAGGAGACCTTTCGTTATTGTAGTGGGGATCTGTTATTTCGCCAGCCCAGCACTCTGGCTTTCCTGTGGGGAACTTCTCTACCCCTGCAGCATGAGCCTTTTCTCATGCACTCAGTTAACGACCTCCCCTCCCTTGCAGAAGCACAGACATGTGACTTAGGCTGGACCACAGTCTCCCTGTCTCCCCTGATCTGAATTTTGAATAGTGATACACCATGTTAAAATGATTGCAGCTGCCCCATCCTGACAGCAGAGCCTGGGAAAGATGATACGTTTGTTTCTGCTCCCCAGAGTTAACCTGGTTCCTCCCTATCTTTTAGCCATGGCTGTTTGTTTCCTTTTTATTATGTAAACTACTGCATATTCTTAAAAAGATATTTTATCTTCTGTTCAAGTTAGTCAGGGTCCATTCCTTTTGCTTTTACTAAAATATTCCAGTTGTTGAAATTTTCAGAATTTTTGAGCTCTAAGCATCTTGGTGGTCTGTGGAGCTATCAGGCGGATTCTGTATAAAGGTTGTCTTCTTGAGTTTCATGTAGTCAGACTGGAATAGAGTCATGGTAAAATAGAAAGAGTAACAATAGGTACATGAGGGTTACAGTTAGAACTGGGGTATTGTTCTGAGGGTGTCTATAAGCAAAAGGAAGAAACAGCCTCCTGTGGATGTCATGGGTCTTTCTGAGGCTAGTTATGAGAAGTTTGTAAC